TCTTGTGATCTGATGTATATTAAAGACATAATTGATGGATATGGTGTCAATTGGTGGATATTATGTGAGGATGATAAATGAATAAATGTATCCTTAAAATTATCATCAATGATTTCTAATGTAGTCTTTTACCTTCATCGCTCTCTTTCTCTTTCTTGGTGGCTATTGATATACATAGAGACATGATTAATAGATATTATGTGAGAATATCATTAATTATCAGTCTTTTCACGACAGATACTTACATGATTCGGAATCCTCCGATTCAGTCGATCCCGATTCATCTGATGATATATCATCATTCATCGTATCTTCATCATCGATATCACTACCACTGCTACCGCTACTGGAAGCTTCTTTTTTATCGTTACCAAGAATTTCAACTGACGTTGTGTCCTCGTCATTAAAACCTATGCAAATACAATTTTATTGGTGTATCATCTGATTAATTAATGAAAAAAATCAACACTTCTTATTAGCAACACCGAAGGGGTCTAAAAGAATCCATAAGATATAGTAACAGACWAAGCGTAGGACTCGTAGTTTCCGACAGAGGTATCTTTAAGACTCCACTGCTCATAGAATTGAAATCGACTTTGCGTAAATACCCACATGATGGAAAGTACTGGGATTGTAACGGTATGTTCAACTTGATTTAAAGTCAAATTGTATACTTACTACCGCTAATTGATTCTCCTGAACCTGACGTTTCGACGGATGTTTCTACAAATGATAAGTTTAACTTTAACATGACGAATTCAAATTAAACGCCTCCGCCCCCTATTTTTCAGGAAACGGGATGTAATGGTGTAGAACTGATATATCACTTTGGAAAAGCGAATAGAACTATAACGAATTTTAATTTAAAAAAATGTGAATATGGGCATGGCAGCATCAAGTATAAATTGCGGACTGATTATGAGGTTTTTGGCCACTAAAACTTTTACACTCAGATGTCTCCCAAACTTGACGTTATGTCTGCACTGAAGACAGATGCTTTCAGGCATGCAATCTTACAATCCATAGTCATCAATTGAGTRCTTTTATGTTTTTATCAGCGCAAAATAAACTCAATCATCCTTATTGTCCGCTATTCTAAAGTAATTCCTTGTTAATTTATGGGAATTTTCAAAGAAAAAGGTGTCCAAATTCAAAAACAAAGCGTGCATGAAKAACATACCAATAAATATCAATCGTTTATTTAATTTTGAAAAATTTGAAAATTAAACTTCTTTTCAACGAATATTTTTTCCCAAACAATTCATTTTGCAGGGTTTCTTTGTCTTTATCAGGTCTCTCTTATCATAAAGTACRTGTTAAAAAGCTAACTGTTTGAGTTCAAATGGTTATCGTACGCAAGAATGAATGCAACAGAACAATGAATGATRACCACCAGTGAAAGGTGGCGGTCATGACATGGAAAGACTATTTCAGAACAAAAAAGTGTTCTTTCTAAGCAAAAWTAAAAAGCAATATGTAACTCTAACAGAAGCTATGTCATAGTCAACAATCAATTTGTGAGGGCCCTACCCTTAACTAGCTTAAGAGGCAATGTACAAGTACTCGGAAATATAATGTCAAGTAGTTTCAGCTTGAAAATCATCTTCAATGAAGAATATATAGAAACTTTATCTTTGGGAAAGTGAATTTGCAAAGAAGATTGCTAAAAAATCCAGTGAAATATAAACAATGTCTTGATATTTATAAATACAGTGACCAATTGTTTTGCCAAGGGATGCGTTTCTTTTTACTATACCGTCTATAGACAAAGTCATCGAAGCAGATATTGTGGAATAAAGAGTTTCCATGCGTACAATAGTTTTGAAATGAAGAGTTTTTCTTACCTTTGCTTAATGGCCATGCTTTAGTACAAACCAAAAATACTAACAGTAGACTTATAATCAGCTTCAGAGACATCTTGTCGACCCTTAAGTGGAAAAGCAAGAGAAGTGAACTTTTCTAAGACCACGGGGCGTAAATCTTTGACCTATGTCGTAATGTTGTCGCCCAGTTTCACAATTTCGGTTGGGAAGTCTTTTTCCAATATAATTTACAAATTGTGTTCGCTTTATGCATGTCTTTAAAGTTCTTATTTTTGATTTTTATTTGAATACACTTGAAATAATATAAACAATAGAGATATTGTTTAGCTAAAAMAATTATGTTGGCATTTTCATCAAGAAAATTGGAATTTTGATTTGGATAAAGCTTAATGAAGTCCTGCACTTACCTTGTCTCTTCTACTTTAAGTCAGAGAAGAGGACTTCAACTTGACAATAACGTTTTATTGGTTATTTTACAAAGATAGTAAGAAAACTACGGGTACTAGTAGACCGACGGGTGCCACCAAACACAMTTCTACTACGCCTGCGTGCTGCACAAACYATGGTCTGTGGATCATAAACTGTTCACTATCAAAATGTACATTTAATTATATAATTCCTCTTGAGGGAATTGAGTG